TAAAATCACATTGAATACATGTATAGCCCAGTTTCTAGAACTAAATTCATGCCCAGGACAGGATTTTTAGGGAGCAGGGAAATATGGGCTGTGGGACTCTGCTTCGGGGCAGTAGCTCCCCGGCCCAGTCTCCCTCCCCCTACTTCTCAGCACATGCCTCTACTCTGAGCGCTGTTCTCACAGTGCCCTGACAGACTCAGGCTTGCTCCTCACACTGAGCTCTTCTTCCCATCACCTCCACACGTGTTCAATGCTGTTCATCCTTAAATGCTGCTTCCAGTGCTGGCTCCTCTTCAGCTCCTTTCCTCACGTCAGCCAATCCCAACTTCTGTTTTTAACTCTTTTCATATATATGCTGAGAAGTACATCATTCCAAACATAACTTTCACCACATTTACCACCATTATATTTGGTGTGTCCCTCCACCAGGGCTGTGAATTCCTTGAGAATAAGAGCCATGTTTTACACAGGCTTCTTTTGTTTCCTTTCAGCAGGGAGTCTCAACCGGGGGTTGATTTTGCCCCCAGGAGACATTTGGCAATGTCTGGAGACATTTTTGGTTGTCACAACTGGGGAGATGCAGTACTACTGGCATCTAGAGGGTGGAGAACAGAGATGTTGCTAAACATCCTACAATGCACGGGACAGCCTGCCCTCCCTCCTCTCCCATAACAAAGAATTATCTGGTCCAAAATCATCCTTTACCAACCTGCACCAAAGTTGAGAAACCATGCCCAACAGTGTCCGGGGCAGTGGAAAAGTAAGATTCATTCCAATTTCATAATTTCTTTTCTAATCTCAATGAGCCAAGCACTAAATCTTAACTTATATTCCAGGGTCACATCCACTAAGCTAGGTTTCCTTTCTTTTTATTACCAGCAATAAAAATCACGAAAACAAGAGTGGATACTTTGTCTTTATACTATTTGGGCCTTGTGGTATTAGCGTCACCCTTAATAGCACCAGCAGCACTAATTGTTCAAGTCTCACTACGAATAAAGACAATGACATCTCCTTAGCATTGAGAAAACAACCACATAGGTCAGCCCCTGCCTCCCACCTCAGCCCTGCCATAGGCTCTGAAGGCCTTTTACCAGCAGGCTCAGCCCAGGTTACTTATCTGGATATCAGCGGCCCATCCCATGGGCAGGCAGGGTCTGAGGTTAACTTTGTCACTCTTGCCCAGGTATATCTAAGGTGACCAGGGTGGACTCCAGAGCACCCACCTGCCTACCTTGTTGCAGTTCTCTCTCACCAACCCCGTCAGACTTGTCCAGTTCCCATGAATGAGGTTTAGCATTACATTCCTAAGTGGGTTCCAGCTCAACCCTATAATTCAGGTCCTCCTCTACCTCTGAGTCACAGCAGGCTTAGCTGTCCAGGGGATGGGCTCTGCTCCCAGTATCCCAGTCACTGGCTATGGGCCTGTTTCAACCACAATGGCCCTGATGGCATCATAGCTCTGGAGCCAGGATGACCATTACAGAGGTCTATGTCTGCTTCCCTCGACAGCTTAGACTACCTGGCCTCAAGGCTCTCCAGGGTATCAATGTTTCCCCTTAGAGGGTATGATTTTAACCTTTATTTTAAATAATTTATATTCACAAAAGATTTGAACAGCACCATTGTGACTGGGTAAGCTGGATCCTTGAGGAGTGAACCCCTACAGTCAGTGCCTCTAGCCTAGTCTACTGTGGCATGTACAGCCCATTTTACTACTGAGTTGGAGTTCAACATGGCCTGTGGGAAATTTGCATTTGACATACGCAAATATTTTTTAAAATTTTAATAGTACAATATATAATGATTGTAGAAAATAAAATAAATGAATTATAACAAGCTGCTATCCCATTCTCAGAGCCAGATTTCATTTTATCACTCAAATGTGATTAAAGCTCAAGACTTCTTATGTAGTCCAGAAAATGGAAGGGGACAAATGAAAGGAATAGACTGAGATCACAGCAATCAATTTTGTACTTAATTTCTATTTTGTGACAATATTTTTAAGACTCTTTACCACTCCCTAACTGTATTCTGCTCAGAGTTTTCTGTCAAAAACAAAAAACTTGTAAACATATCAGAGTTATTAAAGTAAAAAATGGCCCAGCAAATGATATTCTTTCTAATGAACCTAGCCTCTGAATTATGCAATTCACAGATATTCTACCATTCACAAGATAACATCTATTGATATGATCTTTCAAGTAACCAATAGATCATGAGGGAATATATATAGCTGACTGCTTGCATTAAATCAGTATGGTTTAGTGCCAAGTCATGGTAAGCTGTACCTGCAAGGCTCACAGGAGATAACTGAAGTGATGCAGACGTTTACAACTATAATGTCCATGCACTAACTTGAAGCCATAGAACAGTAAAATAAGTTTTGAAGAATATTTTATAAATATATGAAGAAGAGACGGGATTTCTGGAATGGCTGAGTAAGGAGCTCAGCAAATCTTTTCCCCAAAAAGCAATGATAAACCTCTGGACAAATTTGTTGAAAACACCATTTAAAGATTCTGGATATTGACCAAAGGCATACAACAAATTGAGAAGGATTTATTCAAGAAAACCTACTAAATCTCAGTAAGAACAGTGGGAGTCCACAGCATTTTAGCCAGGGACCACACCTATCCCTCCCTCCCTCCCATCTCAGCTCCATTCTACCGCAGCCCCAGTAGACGGGGAAGGCTGTGGGAACTGGCAGTTCTGCTGCCCTGCTGCAGAGGGCTGATTTTATTTGGAGCAGAGCATGAAAAAATTCCTGCCTGGGGCACCATCAGAAACAATAGAGATCTCAGCGGCAAACCACCAGGAAAGGCTAACATCATGGGTAGCCTGAGGTCTTGATACTGCTTGGGATAAGCACAAAATGGCAGACTAGCCAGGAATTTAATAAGGAGATCCAGGGAAGTAAATAAACAGAGAGCCTGGCTAAGATCTCCCTTATCTCAGGTGGTCTGGAAGCTGTGCATGCACAGGCGAGACCAGACAAGGGCTCTAATGAGCTACTTGCTACTTGACCTTGGATTGCTTTTTCCCTTAGTCATCGTGTGTCTAACATCAAACGATAACTAAACTCATTTATCCCTACCCACTATGGTCACAAATCACACAACATTACAGACCACCTATATTATCTCCTTTATTACACAGATGGGAAAACCAAAGTCAGTGAACAGTTTAAGAACATAGATTGCTAAGGGGCTTTGCCAGAATTCATTTACCTACAAAATGGTAGCATAAAATAAAAACTGGTGAAGTTTGGACTACCTGTACCAGATATACATAAAGATCTTCCTCAAGCTATCTTTGTCCTGCATTTAGCCTTCCTCTCTTTGTTCTACTCTTTTTTCTTCTAAGAATTCTTTTGAAGGAAGAGAGAATAATATGGGCTTTTCAGGAAGTCACTCCTTGTGAGTGCTCGTAAAAGTGATAAACTCTACACTGGAGAGTGGATCACATCTGTCCCCTGAAATGACCACCTATGGTCATTGCTCTTAACTGATCCTCTTACTTTCTGTTTCACTTTTTCATAACTCCGGACTTCTGGTTCTAGCTTTTCATTTTATGTGCTTTGTGGGTGACAACCTATGCTAAAAATACTCTACCTCTTTTGGTTGAGTACCTATAATTCCCAGGGAAAATGACCATGACACAGATATAAGCTTCAGTTCCAACTGACATCTAAAACCAGAAAGTATTAACATTTTCGTTTTTACAACACAGCTTCTTTCCATCATAAAATGCTATCCATGAATATCCTCAAGCCCTCTTATTATAAATACTGCTTGTTCACGCAAGTGATTATAAGTTCTCTTGGAGACAACAGAACACTCCATATGAATTAAAGACTGTTTTCCCCAAGCTTGGTGGTACTTCAGGTTGGTGCCAAGGAAACATGCTCCCAAGACAACCTTTATCTGTTCCCGTCTTTCCTGTCAGCTTGACATTTGGCTCATCCTTGGCATTTAGTCAATTTTAAATCACTAGGAAAAATAAGGAACAAATCTCTGTATTTATACAGCTGACATCTTGTTGCTCAGAACCTTGTGTAATCTGTCCTTGTGATAAGGACAGCCAGAAATTTTAATATTTTAGCCTAACAGCTATTCAACAAAGAGTACAAACCAAAGAATGCAGTAGGGCTGGCTTTTTGTACTGTGGAGTGAGCTTCTCCTTCAGTTTTTTTCCTTCTTTTTTAACTTGAAGACAGCATGTGGGGATAGAAGGCTGGAACCTGGGGCAGGCTTAGAAGGATGATGTCTCTATGAAGGGAATACACCTGAGTGAGACTAATTCATCATCAAAATCACATCTGTTCTCTCAAATGAGAAAAAATAAATACCGAAACACGCCTGGAGGCAGTGTGGTATGGATTTTGCCACCAATCATACCTGGATTTGAACTGAGGCCACCACGTACCTGCTCAGCAACCTTGGACAGTTTCCTTAGTCTCTGAGCTTCTCTCCATTTCCTTAACTGTACAATCGAGTAAATGAGAAAATTTAGGTAAAACGCCCAGTATTATTTATATATGCTCACATATGTCACCAACTGCCCCTCACTTTCTGCCTTACCAATGCTGTCCAGAGGCTGGTGCTAATAATAATACACCTGTCTCTATGCAGAGGCTGGTGCTAATAATAATACACCTGTCTCTATGCAGATACAGGAATACATCTTCTTGTCGTAATTGTAATTTCTGACAACAACAACAAATATTACAGGACTCATTCTGCAATTTAACAACTCAAATTCTATTTTTTTGGCCAGCATGAAATAATTAACTTTTACTTCACACTTTAGCCCGAGACACTTATAAAAGATCAGAGATCTTAACAGTAGCATGATCCGCACAGCAGGATTCCATGGGTCAGTCACCAACAATAACATAAAAAGGCCAGGATTATTTCAGATCGTGATGCCGCCAGATAGAGTACAGCTCCCCAAAGTGAACATTTTAGAGTACATGATTTTTTTCCCCCCAAAACTACCTGGCCAGCTCCCTCCTCTGTCAAGAAAGGCCTGGATGTGATGGGATCCTCTGCATGCCTGAGTCCAGGGCACTCCATGGGCACCAGGCAGAAGGCAAGGAGCTACTCAGATTTCAGGCTGACACACCACACTTGCTGTCAAAGCTACTTCACACCCCGGCAGGGAGAAGCTCCTCTCAACTCTCAGCAGTGCCCACTGCAATTATTACTTGTGAGTGAAGAACAGTCATTGAATCACGTGATGACTCAGGCATCGAAAAGAAAGCCCTCGTCTGGGCTCACAGGCCAGGCGGCAATCTCCAGGGGAGAATCTGATCTTGCTAGCTAAAAACAGCAGGTAGGAAGCATAAGCCCTGCAAATACTTTTTTAATTAATGGAGGATTATTTTTCCTCCCCTCTTCCCTTGCTCTGCCTCTGTCTTCCTTTTCTCCTTTCTCTCCTGTCTTACCAGATGCTCTTAGATACTCTGGGTCACATCTGCCAGCCTGTGAACAGTGCTAGGATAAAAAAAGACCCAAAACAAGAGGTCCCACCAACCAAGAGCAATCAGTGCTCAGTAACAATAATTTTGCAAACAGCAGTAAAAGCAGCTCCATATTTCAAATTTATGATCTAAAATTTAATTGAAATCCAACTATTAATTACATTTTATTTATTGCTGAAAATAGATCCTTTGCATCCTGAAGCAGAGATCTATATTCTAACTCAGAAAGCAAAAGAAGGAAAACAGTAACGACCAGAACAACCAGATAGAATCAGAAAATGTTGCTGAGTTCTCAGCACAGAGATATCCCTAATACCTTAAATATAGATTCTTCTAAAACCATCCCACCATTTGTTCTGAAAACACATAAAAGGGTTTATGTTACAAACTAAATTCATTCTCTGGCCCCAGTGGCATCTACACCCCCCTCCCCAAACATGCACACCCGCTCCAAGGCTCTTAATCTTGCCAGTATTCCAAATTAGAGTCCTTGGAGTACATCTTCCAATCCTCTCTGGTTTAAATCTGCTATTAAAGATTTTACCTTGTCAGTGTCTTTTAAAATTGCATCTCCTCTCTTCATTACCTTTGCTTTGCCTTGGTTTGCTTGGCCTCCTCCTAGGTGATTATTGTGGTCCTCCATGCAGTCACCTAAATAATGCACCTAATCATGTCACTCCCTGCTTAAAACCTCCCCCAACTCTGTTGCCTTCAGTTTGGCATTTAAGGCTCTCCACAACCCACTAGCTAGCTAGCTAACCTCTCCAGCTCCATCTGGCACCAGCCTGCGCCTAAGCTCCAGCCCGCTGAGCTGATGAGTGTTCCATGAACACACTCATAACCGCCAGCATCACATCTCATACACGTCCAGTCTTTCCTGAGATGCCCCTTCACACCCCCTACACTGAGTCTCCCCTCTGTGCTCTCAACACTTTGTCCTGATCTCTAATCCTGTACTTGGTTCACAATGCAATCGTACAGTTTGTGGGAGTGTACCTTATTCATCACTGATACATTGCAACAGAGTTTGCTACTAAAAAAAGACTCACTAAAAGAAATTCGGAAGGACATACTTCAGAAAGAAGGAAAATGACTACAGATACAAACCCTAAAATAGAAGAAAGTAACAATGCAGAAAGATATTGGTAAATAGATGGGTAAAACTAAGCAAACATTATTTAAAACTATAAGAAAAATGTGTAATTTGTGGAGGAAAAATAGGGAAGTTGAGGAGAGGTAAGTTTTTGAATTTTGGAGCATGACTGGTAACATAGTCATTAAATAAAAATTTGTTTGAAGTATGCCCATTAAAGTAGCAAGAATGGCTACTAAGAGAATAGACATAAAGCATATAACATCAAAAGAAACAGGGGAAAAAACTGGAATGGGAAAAAAGAATTATCAACTCAAAAGATGGCAAGAAGACAGGGGGAAAAAGAAATAGAAAACATTTTTTAAAAAGCTACAAAACTTGGGGCCAGCCTGGTGATGTAGTGATTAAGTTCAGTGTGCTCCCCTTTGGTGACCTGGGGTTCACAGGTTTGGATCCTGGACATGGACCTACACCACTCATCAAGCCATGCTGTGGCGGCAGCCCACATACAAAATAGAGGAAGACTGGCACAGATGTTAGCTCAGGACGAATCTTCCTCACCAAAAAAAAAAAAAAGCTACAGAACTTGTAATTTATAGACAATGTTTATGCTGAAATCCCAAAAGAATCTAAAGATAAATTATAATTAGTAAGATTTAACAAATTTGATTTTTACAAAATCAATATGTAGAAATCAATTGCATGTTTATATTCAGCAATAATCAGTTAGAATGACATCGTTAACAACAAAAATATAAAATACCTAGGAATAAATCTTACAAAAGATGTGCAAGCCCTTTACCTAAAATGTTTTTAATTGAAGTGAAAAGCATTATGAAGATCCAAATAAAGGAAGGATTTTACTATTAGATGGTAATACTATAAAGGAAAGAAAGGGATGTTAACCACAAAAGTCAGGATGGTTTGACCTCTAGAGGGTAGGAAAGGTGATGGTTTACTTAACTTGGATGGTGTATATATGAGTATTCGTGTTTTTAATTCTTTGCACTGTACCTACAAATTTGATTTTCTCTTTTACATGGATGAAATATTTTACAGTTTTAAAAAAGGTCTAGAACAAATTTAGCTCAATTAACGCAAAAAGTAAAGTCTGCTGTGTGCCACAACACAGGATTCCCACATTTTACAAGTAGAGCTTGAGAGAAGATACTAATTTGGTAAACTTTGAGGAATGTGTCTTGAATAATCATTTTATCTCCAAAAGAGGAGGCAGAAGCTGCTATAACATGCTAGAACAAACCCCTTCAGGAAACATTCCATTTTAAGTGCAATTGTCTTTACTTTTTAGTTTTAAATGGAAAGGTTTCTATGCAAAGCTGATCACATAAATATTCGGTTGTTTACTTCTGCACACAAGGTAGAAAAGCAGCAATATGATGACAATTCAGGAACATTAAACATGCATCAGCTCAAAAATGATGGAAAATTTAGGGCGAGTCTCAACTATCCACCTCATTAGCCTGATCCACTAGTGTTTTACAAGTAATTTGTTTCTAACGGTAGACAGAGTGCCAAAAATTTGCAGATCATTTACTTTTTTGAGAAGGGTAAATTATGATGGGTTAAATCATAGGGGAATAAATTATATTTCACTCGCATGTCAATATGCTCCCCTGGGTGGGAGAGAAATGCCCAGAGATATATCTGGCTTGGGCACCAGCATATAACCCATAGCCTAGCTCACCTGTGTAACAGACTGTATTTTCCAAAAATGGCCAGTGCAGTATTTCCAGTCCCACACGCTCTTCCAGAAACTTTCCACTTCCCTTTCAAGAGATGGAATCTATTTCCACTGCCATTGAGCCTGAGTGGCCTTTATAATTGCTTCAATGAACAGAATGCAGTGCAGGGATGCTTTGTGATTTCCTAGGGTGGGTCATAAAAGATAAGGTTTCCGCCTGACTTTCTCTCTCTTGGGTCATGTGCGTTGCGAGCAATGAGCTGGCACAGAAGTCTGGCTACCCTAAAGCTGTCATGCTGGAGAGACCACAAAGAAACAGAGCTGCCGGAGGAGCCTAGCTGTTCTACTCCTCCCAGCCCAGGCTCCAGATGCGTGAGTGAGAGAGCTTCAGATGTTTACAGGCCCCAGCCTCCAAGCCAAACCAGCTGATGCTGAATGCAGCTGAGATGAACCATCCCCACTGAGCCCTGCCGAGATTGGAGATTTGTGAGCAAAATAAATATGGTTGTTGCTTTAAGACACTAAGTTTGCTGTGCAATGTTAGTTAACTGGAACAGCTGTCACATCTATGTGAGCAACATCAAATGCAAATGCCATCCCCTCATGTGCCCAAGAATAGACGACTGAGAACCACCAGCCCAAACAACATAGTTTCTTCAAAACCAGAATGATGGCCCTGTAATTCACCCCAAAAGAAGCAAACACCATCCCTGAAAGCTAAATTTGATTTAGGAGTCATTACACCTTTTGCCATTGATCAATGATGCTGATTAGTGGGTACGTTTATAAACCTATTACTTGCAAAAAAAATTCTCTCATATTTTAGCTTTGAATATATTCAAAGGATCTCTGAGATGCAGGCTAACCACCTGTGCTTATAAATGACATCTACTCCATACAGTATCTACCTTTCATTTTGGTCTATTTATGTTGGTATCCATAGTGTGGTATCAGGTGTCCTCTCACACTCAGTGGAACCAAAATGAAATCACTGAGGTCTACATATTGTGATCTGCTCTTGGATGTTATGGAATTAGTTGAAAGTCATCAGATTTTAGAGCCAAATAAAATTCCTATTCACTTACTATGTACCCTAGGCAAGCTACACAACTTGGCTGAGCACTTTCATTGATCTGTAAAACGGAAATAATATCTATCTTGCAGGGCAGTTATAGAATTAAATGAGCCAATATATATAAAATACTTAGCACATCTGGTACATAATAGGCAACCAGTAAGTTTCCTTTCCTTGGCACCCTTCATTTTTTTCTTGACTGATAGGCTGAAGGAGTGTGAAGGCCTCTGGGTTTGCCCAGCTAAAAGCAGCCCTCCGGAGAGAGCAAGGCTCAGCTTCCTACCTGTGATGCTGCTCCAACGCCTGAAAGTGGGCCTCCAACCCACACTGGGAACTCCAACAAGAGCAGCTCACTGGTGCCCTCTGTGCTGTTTTGCTTTGTTTGTTGTAGTTCTTGTTTAAATGCTAAATATTTGAGCCAATTTAACTCTGCATTCCAGCTATTGCTTTTTCTTTTGCTATCATGCATCTTCACCAGCAAAGAACTGATACATTTTTTTTTCCATTTAGAGGTCATTGGGGGACTTGATGTCATAGAGGTGTCCGAGCTGAATTACTGACCAGGTACATGAAGGAGGCAAAAAACAGGTGATGTAGAGGTTCTGGTCAATAATCTCAAAATACGAGCAAACCAAATGAATGATGTTATGGGGACAACAGAGAACCAGCCATCCTTGTACATCTTCATTTGGTTCAAGCTCAGCCTCTAAGTGCATGAGGAAGCTCTCCGGGGTGGACAAAGCACACGATGTGAGAACCAGAGAGGTGCCTTCCACTTGCTACGTGACCTCAGGAAATGAGTTTGCAGGCCTTTGCTTCTTCAACCAAGAAGCTGTGGGATTAGACTAACCGATCAAAACATGTGATGACTGAGATGGGCCTCAAGACCACCCAGTCTAATGCTCTCACTTGGCAGGAGAGAAGTGAGGCCCAGAACAATTCAATGGTTTTCCTTTTGTCACAC